CGGGCTCGGGGCCGGCTGTGTGACCTTGGGCGGCGCGCGCCCTCTCTGGGCCCCGACCCCGCGCCCGGCCCGGGCCGGCGGAGGCCGCGCTGCGCCCGCGCCGCTCCCGCGTCTTCGGCCGGGAGCGCGGCGGAGGCTTCTCGGAGGAGGCGGGGCCTGGCCCCTGCCCGGAATCAGCTGCGTGGCCCGGGGGCCGGACTCTGCCCCGATCGCCCCGCGGGGCCCGGCGAGCTCTGGCCGGGCCGCGCCTCGGTCTCCTCATCTGCGCAATGGCCTCTCACGGCGCCCCCAGCCCCGGCCGCGGCCTGGCCTCACTGTTGTGACACTGTGATCATGACCGTCCTGCGGGGGGGCTCAGGGCGCACCTGGGAACTTGCAGGAGGAGGTGGGAACCGCCCCGGCCCTGCGCAAGGGCGCGCACCCCCCGGGAAGGCGGGACCCCCACTTGCTCTCCAGTCTTCGGGGAGGCGCGGCGCTCTGGGGCTCAGCTCCTCACCGCTCACGTAGGGCAACCAGAATGGGGGCCTCCCTCCTGCAAGTTACCCGGAGTCCCCAGCCCTCAAAAAAGCCAAAGAGCAAACACCTGTGACACTAAGCCGCTGATGACAACTGCTGTGGAGTCCCAGGAGAAAGGTAAACCGTCCCCATGTCACAGACCAGACGGAGCCCTGAGCCACAGGGGCTCTGGCCCGGCGTTTGGCACCAAGTGGCCCGCAGGTGCAGGTGGTCAAGAGCTTAGTGTGATCTGAGCGCTCGCTCCTGTCTCACGGCAACCCTGACCCGTGTCCCTCCCCACAGTGACTCCGCCGGCCTGGGCATGGCGGACCCAGTGGCGGGCATCGCAGGCTCGGCGGCTAAGAGCGTGCGGCCATTCCGTTCAAGCGAGGCCTACGTGGAGGCCATGAAGGAGGACCTGGCCGAGTGGCTCAATGCCTTGTATGGCCTCGGTCTGCCCAGCGGTGGGGATGGCTTCCTGACAGGACTGGCCACGGGCACCACCCTGTGCCAACATGCCAACGCCGTCACGGAGGCTGCCCAAGCTCTGGCTGCTGCCCGCCCGGCCCGAGGGGTGGCCTTCCAGGCACACAGCGTGGCGCCCGGATCCTTCATGGCCCGAGACAACGTGGCCACCTTTATCGGCTGGTGCCGAGCGGAGCTGGGTGTGCCCGAAGTGCTCATGTTCGAGACGGAGGACCTGGTGCTGCGAAAGAACGAGAAGAGCGTGGTGCTGTGCCTGCTGGAGGTGGCGCGGCGCGGGGCCCGCCTGGGCCTGCTTGCTCCCCGACTCGTGCAGTTTGAACAGGAGATTGAACGAGAGCTCCGCGCCGCACCCCCGGCCCCCCAGTCCCCCAGTGCTGGGGAGGACACCGCCGAGACTGCCACTGCACCAGGGGCCCCCGCCCGCGGGCCCCGCATGACACCCAGTGACCTGCGTAACCTCGACGAGCTGGTGAGTCCCCTGCGGTGGCTGCTCTTTCGGGGGCCCCTGCTGCTGTGCACTGGGAACGGGCCAGCGGACCTGGTGCCGAAACTGATTCGTGAACCTCTTAGGGCCTACCCTGGTCTCTGCAGGACAGCCTGCCCCCCGAAAAGGCGCACGACTTGAGCTACAAGGGAATCTCCGGCCCTAAGGACACTTGTAGGCCAGAGAGAGGGAGGTGCTAGGTGAGGCCACACAGCACAACTAGCCTGGGATAGAACCCGGGCTCCACTGCATGATCGCCCCCGCTTTTGTGTGCATAATCCAGATAAACGCCGCGCATTCCTTCGTCCAGGGGGGCACGATTTGAGCCCCTCTTCTATGCCTCCCTGCCAGACAGCTGCCTCCCCATCACGGGGTTCAAGGTTGAGTGGGCACCTATGGTGCTTGGCCCAGGACAAGCTGCCAGGCTCCGAGAATGCCTAGCGAGTCCCGAGTCCCCAGGGCTCTGCACACATCACTTATCTGGGAAGCCAAGCCCAGAGGCGCTGCTGCTGGGAGTGAGAAGCCCGGTGAGGAGCTGAGCTATCAGCTCTCCCCTGAGCAGAGGAGCTGCTGGACCACCTACTCCCCCAGGACCGAGGTGTCCCTGACACCCCCGCAGCCGGGCCAACAGTTTCCTTCTTATCAGGCGATTAGGACTATGATGTGCCTGTCCTGGAGGGGGGTAGCCAGATGCCTGTGGGCAGAGGCTGCCAACCCCCCCCCCCCCCCGGCCGCCCTGGGCCAGGGTCACTTGAGGCTCCACCTGCTCATTTTCTCCGCCTCGGCTGTGGTGAGGAGGTGGGTAGAGCCGCCCACTTTGCCAGCCTGGCAGCTTCCGGCTTGGAGACTATGTTGGCAGATGTGGGCTCTCAGGGCAGGTGGCCTGTGTGTGCATGTTGTGCCCACGTGTCTGTGGCACCCCCGCCTGGATGTAATCCTGCCCTTGGCACTCATGTCCCGTGACGTGACCTGCTTCCTGTGGGTCTCAGCCTCATCCGCGGAGTCGGGGAAGGGGAGTGAGGGCAGCTGCGGGGCTCCTCCCGGCCCACGGGCTGCCGGATGTACCTCATCAGGGGCCCAGACCTTGGCCTGCCTCTGCCTACCTGCCCGCCATTGGTCAGCTCCCTGTCTCCCCACAGCCGAAGGGAAAGGAAAGCTGGTGAAAGGTCGAGTGTGGAGGCCGGACCCAAGTCTGGGGCAACAGTCCATGCCCCTGTTCCCCAGAAGTTACTTCCTCCTGACTCAGAGTTGCTGATATCAGGCCCCAGGCGGAGGGACTTGACCCTGACCTCTGAACTCTCTTCTCTGTTCCCAGGTGAGGGAGATCTTAGGCCACTGCACCTGCCCAGACCAGTTTCCCATGATCAAAGTCTCGGAGGGGAAATACCGCGTGGGAGACTCCAGCCTGCTCATCTTCGTGCGGGTAAGAGCAGGGGCTGCTCCAGCAGGCAGGCGGCAGCCCCGGCAGTGGGGCTGTGCGCCCACAGAACTGGCCGTGACCTGTTCCCGGCGGCTCCCGCAGGTGCTGAGGAGCCACGTGATGGTGCGCGTGGGTGGCGGCTGGGACACCCTGGAGCACTACCTGGACAAGCACGACCCTTGCCGCTGCGCCTCCACAGGTCGGGGCCGGTGGGGTGGGGGCCGGCAGGGGGCGCCCTCTGCGGTTCCCCTCCTCATAGGCCACCTGTCCTCTCCCCACAGCCCACCGCCCTGCCCAGCAGAGGGCCCGCACCTTCTCCCCACAGAGGGTGTCACCCATCCCCAGCCCCCGACCTGGTAGCCCGGTCCCCGGGGGTGAGCGTCGGGGCTCCCGACCGGAGTTGCCACCCGGTAGCTCGCGCGCCTCCAAGGACGGGCCTGACACACCGCTCAGGTGAGAAGCAGGACATGAGGTCCCAAGATGGGGATGGGGGCGTCTGCCCTGGCCCGGATGACAAAGGAGCCTGCGCTCCGGAGTGACTCACACCCTGGGAAAAGTTCCCGTGGGTGGGGGCGGCCTGGCTTCCCATCTCCATGGCAACGCAGCCAAACCAACAACACAGCTCGGGCGGGGCTCAGGGGCTGGGCGACGGCCAGTCCAACCCCGCTTCCTTCTGGCCTGCCCAGGGGAAGCCAGAGGCCTGGCCAGGGGAGCTTAGGGCCTGGGAGGCCCTGCTGCTTCCGCTGCCTTGGCGTGGGGGTGGCCTGGCTGCAGGAAGCTGCTGCGGAATCTCTCACTTCTCCCTGGAAGTCCCCAGGAAGGGCAGAAGCCCATGACGGCCCCCACCAGCCGCCCCCCCCACCACAGGTGTCTCCCCACCCCCGCTAACCACACCACACCCCCGCCTGCTCGCTGTTCTTCTCCCTGCCCCCGCCGCAGGCCCAGGCCCATCCTCTTTCCGTGATTCCCCATCTCTCTCTCTTGTTCCCCTACCCCAGGCCCCGGGACCAGCTGCCCCCTCACCCCCGCTCCCGCCGATACTCCGGGGACAGCGACTCCTCAGCCTCCTCAGCCCAGAGCGGCCCCCTCGGTGCCCGCAGTGATGACCTAGGCACTGCCTCTCAGAGAGAACGGCCCAGCCGGCGGCTGACCACAGGCACCCCGGTCTCCCCGAGAAGGCCCCCAGCCCCACGCAGCCAGTCCCGAGACCGCCTGGATCGGGGGCGGCCCCGTGGGGCCCCAGGAGGCAGGGGAGCCCGGCTCTCAGCCCCCAGCCCTGCCCGGCGTGCCCGCAGCCAGAGCCGCGAGGAGCAGGCTGTGCTGCTGGTTCGAAGAGACCGAGACGGGCAGCACTCGTGGGTAGCACGGGGCGGGCGGGGCTCAGGCAGGAGCAGCCCCCAGACTCCCCGTTCCCACAGTCCCGCAGCCCTCCGGCCTCCCCAGGGCTCCAGCCCCAGTCCAGAGCTGGGCACCACACCGGCCAGCGTCTTCCGCACACCCCTGCAGCTGGACCCGCAGCAGGAGCAGCAGCTGTTCCAGCGCCTGGAAGAGGAGTTTTTGGCCAACGCCCGGGCCCTTGAGGCTGCAGCTGGCAGGACCCCCACTGGGCCGGCCCCTGACCCGGCTCGGGCCCCAGACCCTCCAGCTCCTGACTCGGCCTACTGTTCCTCTAGCTCCTCCTCTTCGTCCCTCAGTGTCCTGGGTGGCAAGTGTGGCCAGCCCGGGGACTCCTGCCGGATGGCCAACGGGCTCCCTGCGCCCCGAGGCCCAGCCCTGTCTAGCTCTTCCGATGAAGGCAGCCCCTGTCCTGGTGCAGGAGGCCCGCCAGACGCACCTGGGAACTTCCTTGCTGGCCTGGAGCCCCCGCGGACCTGGGCACGGGGCCGGATGGACACACAACCAGACCGAAAACCCTCACGCATTCCCACACCTCGGGGCCCCCGACGCCCATCTGGACCCATGGACCCCGGGGCCTGGCATGCCCTGCACTCAGTTACCCCCAGGAGCGAGCCAGACTCCTGGATGTGATGGACCAGTTCAACTGCCCCCCGAGTCCCCCGTTCCTTCTCCTTGTGGCCTTAACCCCTCTGCATCAGGGAACCGCCCCCCCTTCCCTCTTGGGGACCAGACCTCACGGGACTAGAACCCTCGGGACCACGGCACAACGGGACTTCCTCTGTACATTCCGGTTGGGGGATGAGCGTTGCTATTTAATTACTAATATTATTGAATGCCTTAGAGGAGGCGGGGCGCCCGGCGAGGCCCCCGCCTACGGGCCCACGGCCCTGCAGAGCCTGACAGTAAAGTTTTGTTCCAGTCCCTTGTGTCTGCTTCTTGGGGCCATCACACTCTTTGGGGGGCCCTTATTTCACAATGGGTTAACTGCCAGGGGCAACACTGGCAGCTCTCCTCGCGCCCATTCCTGGAAGGCGAGGGACACTTGAACTGTTTCCCCTTTTATTACCTCCTGGGAGGTGCGACTTAAGAGTCTGTGCAGCGAAGCCCCAGGAGCCATCTGGGAACCTCCAGGTTCATTGCCAAGTCCCTTCCGCGCCACGTGTCTTGCCCCAGTGAGGTCCCAGAAAGCTCTGATCTTGTCCAATGGGGCCGAGGGCCTGATGCGGCCCAAAGAGGTTCCAACAAAGGCCCGTAGCCGCGGGCGGGACTTGCTTCAAGCAGGGCGGAGACTCTGCCCCGTCCAATCCGAGAGAAGTTGGGCAACCTTGTCCAATCCGGGGCCCGGGTTATTCAATCAAATGCCCACAAACCTCCCCCCGCCTCGGGCGGCGGCGTCCAATTCGGTCACATGAGGCTGCAGCGCGCCGGGTGCAGAGCCCCCTGCAGGCGCAGGGCCGGGTGTGCGGGGCGCGCGCGCACCAGGGCGCAGCGGAGCAGCTCGCGGAACAGCCGAAGCACGTGCCAATTGTACTTGGCGGAGCACTCGAGGTAGCCGCAGCGCCAGCCCCTGCGCACCAGGGCGGCCAGGGCGCGCCGAGGTCCAAAGCGTAGTCGCTGCCGGTCCCTCTTGTTGCCCACCACGAGGATGGGCGCCTCAGGCGCGCCTGCCGGCCTGGGGGCCAGAGAGGGGCGAGAACAGCTCTGCCGGGGGTCCCGACGCCGGAGAATCCCCCCGGTGGGTCTGTGCGCTCGGGAGCCTCCCCAGCTGTGGCCAGCAAACACCTGAGCCGCGCGGCCCGAGGACCCTACACGGCTGCAGCCTCACCAAGCACAAAGGCCGGACCGGGCAGGCGGAAGCCCACGAAGAAACACCCACCCACGCCCCTCGGGCCAAGGCCGGGCGGCGCGGCCGGGCAGGCGCCCCGCTTCTCCCCACCCCAGGCTGCCCCCTACCTGTTCTCCGCGATGCGCTGCCGCAGCGCCTTCACGTAGTCGAAACTGTCGGGGCTGCAGATGTCGTAGACCAGCACGAAGGCGTCCGTGTCCTGCAGGCTCCAGCCCTTCGGGTCTGTGCACTCCTGGGGGCGGGAAGCCGAGCTTGCTGGAGCCCCCAGCGATGGCGCCGGCACGGTGCGGCGCCCGGACGCTGAGCCCGCACTCCTCGTTGGCCTCGGGCGCGCCCCCCCGACCCCGGTGTGCTCGCTTCCCCGAGCGCTGCCGTCCTCGTGGCCACCAGGGGGGAAATGACCGAGCGGCCTGAAGCCCACAGCCCTCTTGGCGCTGGGTCTCCACGCCGCCCGCCTGCTACCTCCCCCCGCGTGCCCCTCCAGCTTTCCACGGCTCGGCGCCGGCCAGGCCCCGCCCTCCCCGACGCCCGCCGGCGACCACCTGGGAGGCTGGTCGCGGCTCGCGGCGCCCGGACCCTGATGGGCGGCAGCTGTGCTCCCCAGGCGCCCGGGCTCCCGCGCGCGGGCTCTGCACCTGGAACGCGCTCGCCGCTCCTTGAAATTGAAAACCTCATTCATCGCGCCCGGCTCAGGTTAAATGGCAGCCCCTCCAGGAAGCCCTGCTAAATCCTGACTTCTCGGTCTTCGTCTCTCGGGGGGACCCAGTTCCAAGGACTCGAGGTCTATCCTGAACTTCGCAGATTATTAGTAAAGTGGTTTTTTTGCCCCAGGTCATGGGAAGGAGAGAATGGCCTCCCTTGAAAGGATCCCCATGAGTCGGGCCCTAATTTTTGCCCCTCTGCTCAAGGTGTGTCCGAACACACCTCAGGGCGCAGGCAAATATAGAGGCTTCACTGAGAAAAGCCACCTTGCAAAAGCACCCCTCTCGGGCCTGGTCTCGGGCGCCTCCAGGCCGGCAAGAGGGGGTGAAACACACACACACCAGGACACGCATTCACCCTCCAGTCCGAGAGCAGGTGGGCACCTGCGGCCTCTGCGTGGTCACACACGTGTGCGCCGCGTGCACACCTCCCCAACACACACGTTGCCACACGCCCCTGCCCACCCCTAGAGCCGCTGCTACCTCCAGACCCCCGGGGCTGGGACCGGTTCCAGCCCCGTCGCCGTCGCGGATGCTCAGGTCGTACACTGCGCCGTCGAGGAGCACCGCGGGCCGGTAGAGGCGCGGCCCGTCCGTGGGCCGGTGGCGCTCCGGGTAGTCACCGAACAGGAACTGGCGGATGATGGCCGTCTTGCCCACCCCCGGGGCGCCCAGCACGGCCACCCGCAGGCTGCCGCCCATGGCCCGCGCGCCCCGCGTTGGGAAGCCTCATGGGCCGGCGCCGCGCGGAGCGCCCCGCGCTCTGCCCCTTGCGCCCGGGCCTCGCCGCGCCCCCTCCCCCCGCCGCGCTCCGGCGCCCCCGGAGTCCGCAGAGGCCGGGCCCGAGGAGGGGACGGGCGGCCGGAGGGCGGGCGGCCCGCTGAGCGGGCTGGCGGCCGGCGGCGGGCGCGGGAGCTGCTCCGGCGGGAGCCGAGGCTCGGGCGAGAACAGACCCTGCGCGCCCGCGCACGCACCGCCTCCGGCCCGCAGCGCCACTGAGGGCGCCGCCTGCAGCGCCAGCGCCGGGGCGCGACCTCCCAGCCCCGCGGGTCCCGCGGCGGGACGGGGCACCAGGGGCGATGCTGCCTCTCAGCGTCTCGGTCCCTCCGTCCCTCAGGCGCCTGGAGTCGCCGCCCCTGTCGGCGGCGGGAGCGAGCGAGCGAGCGAGCGGAGCCTCCTGGAGGCGGCGATGAGGTAACCGCCCGCCCCTCCCGCCTCCCCGCTACCCGCCGGGACGCCCCTCCCGGGAGGGGTCGTGGGAAGGGAGGGCGGCTGGGGCTCCGGGAGCCGGGGAGGGACCCAGCCCCCTCTGCGAACCGCGCCCCTCTCACCCGCTCCAAAATAGAAGTGCCCGCCGCCCGCGCCGCGCCGCGCCGCGCCCGCGCGCTGCTCCCAGGCCGGCACCAGACAAAGCCCGGCCTGCTGGAGCCGGGCCGCCGGGGTCGCGGGCGCCCCGGCTGTGTGACCTTGGCTGAGTCGCCGCACTGCGCTGGCTCTGCTCCGGCATCCATCGTCCAGCAAAGGCGGACACCGTTTCCTGAAGGCCTACTACGTGCCTGTTCTAAGTTGTGACTTAGTAATGTCTGTAGCATTACGTGATCCTTGAATCTGCAGCCTCAACCTGGTATCTCCTTTTGAGAAGCGAGAAAACCGGCCAGAGGGAACTCTTCAAGATTGGGGGTGGGGCTGTGGCCCCTCACCCCCAAACTTGTGATCCCCAGAGGGGAGACCTATCTTCCTCCTGCCCACAGGGTAAATGGCCATCACTAGTGGGCAAGGAGGGGGCACAGGCCCCAGTTCACACCAGATCACAGCAGCCGGGCTCCAGCTCAGCCCCTCTTCTCTTTCCCAAGAAGACAGAAGATCCAGACATTGGTCAGCACCACCTGCGTCTCTGCTAAGGCCAAGATTTCTGCCTGAGGCTTCACCTGTAGCTTTCCTCAAAGCCATGCTGCCCCCAGATGAGACTCCCCAAACTCAAATCCCCTCTCCTTGGAGCCAGTGAAGTTCTTTCCCTGTCACAGCTTGGGAGTCTGGGTCTGCCCAGTGCCCCCATCCTCTGCCTCTGCTTGCTGTCTCCCCTTTAGCAGAGGCCCCCACATCTCTCACCAAATGCGCAGATGCTGGGTGAAATGCACACGCATCTCTGTTTCTGTGCTGACCAAGTGAGACCAAGAGTCTCACTTATTTCTCTCTTCAACAAATATTCCTAGTGTCACTGCTTGCCAGGATACTAAAATGGATTACTAAACAGTCCTGCCTTAGGAGAGAAGGTTCTAGAACACATGGGATCCAGGAACTATAAGGGCACAGTCCACATGCAGGAAGCAGAGGAAGAGCTGAACCATGAAGTGGGGAGGGGCGCTTTTTCCAGCGAGAGATGGTGGCAACCAGAGCGTGTGTCTCCAGAGTGGCAGGTGTGTTGTCATCCTCCCATGCTGGATCAGGACACTGGTGTTCTCTCTCCTTCTCAGCCACTAGGGAACTCAGAGCCACACCTACGACAGCCTCTGGCAGGCGTTCCAGGTCCCAGTAAGTCAGGACCAACTGGCTTCACCTTCTTTACCTGCTGCGGTTTTTTCCTTCACCTGATTTTCACCCACACTTTTTATCTTCCCAGACTTCTATGTTTTGGAAGCTACCTCAGTTCCTCTGGGGAGCAAGGCAGAGAGTAAACTAAGCCCCCATCCCTTTTGATCCTCAGCAGGCTGTGGGGCTGACATTAAGATGGGGATGGTCTTCCCTTAGGCTCTTGTAGGGCCAGTCCCCTGCCTGGAGCGCCCTCTCTTCTTGCTCCTGACCATTCTCGAGTACCCGTTTCAGGTGCCCTCCCTCTGGAAAGCCTTCCTAGCTTCACTTTCCGACAGAGTGCCCCCTTCTTGGACAACAGGGCTTTGGGAACTGCAGACATGGTGGTGCGTGAGGCATCTCAGGTCCCAGCATGATTTCTCAGTGTGTCGTTCCAGGGTGACAGAGGACACTGTGGACAGGGATTGTCCTACAGCCTCCACAAAGTCCTGCGAACTCCTCAGGTTGGAAAGTCTTGCATTAGCTTCACTAGCATGGGTTCCATTTATGAAGGACCTGTGGTGTGCCAAGTCCTGACCACAGCTGTGTGCTCAGTGAGGCTCAGAGGGATGCAACCCTTTGCCCCAAACTGTCAAGCAGGAGAGAGGCAACACAGGGCCAGAAACTTGGGCCAGCAACCCAAATTCTTGAGGAGCCCAGCTTCATCTGGGCTTCAGGGTGTGGTCAGTGGAGACTGTGGCCCTCTGGGGAGGAAGTCCTTGTCACCATCGCGGGCTGAGCTGAACTGTGACAAGACTAGATAGCGCTCGTGCCAGGCTCCCCGAAGACCAGCAAGCCAGAGAACTTAAGCTGCCTATCTGCCTAGGAGGTAAATTCTGAAGTTTCTCTCATTGGCCCCCTCACTCCATTTGCCAAGGAGAGGCAGCCAGGATGCTCCCATGCCCTTTGCCTGCTCCCCCCCAGTCCTCAGAGAACACCCACCCCACGAGCAGCCAGGCATCTCCTTCAGCACGCAGGGACCGGCTCTGGGTACCCTGCCCGCTCCCCACGGCTTATGAGGGAGACAGATGTGCAGCCAGGCCCAGACAGGTGGAAAGAGCAGCACTGAGCCAGTTCAGACCTGGGGGCTGAGGACACCCAGGGGAGGCACCAGCCTGTCTACAGATGGGCAGTCAGGAAGGGCCTGGTGACACACCTAAGCCGATTCCTGAGGGATTAAGCTGCAGAGGGTGGGTTTGGCAGTGGTTGAGGAATGGGTGGGGCAGGTACCAAGTGGAGGATTGTGCATCCCCCACTTCATTGCCCACGCAGCACCAGCCAGCTGGACATCCCCCACCATCTGACCTTGGCCACGCAGCTTCTTCCCAACTGGCCTGGTGCTACCCCTTCCCTGGGGCTAAGCACCCTGGACTCTCCCAGCTCCCAGGGCACTCACTCTGGACTGAGTCCTGGTGGTCTTTCCCAATTGTTCAAGCTCCTCACCATTGCCCCCGCCCCAGTATCTCCCCTCCCCGAGTCCCGGGTGGGAGGTTTTCCTACCGCTCAGGTGCTTGGCACCTCATGGGTCCATGGTCAGCGTCCTAATGTCACCAGCTGAGTGCAGCTGGTCAGCCTCCCAAAGGCCAGGAGTGTCTTCCTTATAGCCGTCAGTAACGAGAAGGCAGCACAAGGCGGGGCTTCCAGGCCTCTGAAGCAAGATTTCTTGCAGTGAAATCTCTGGGGGAGAGTCATCTGTGCAAGCTAGTTAATCACCTGAAGACTCAGTTTCCTTATTGTAAAGGGGATGACAATGGTCTTGGCTTCATAGAGTTGTGAAATGAAATGAAAAAATAAGACAATTTAGCTGAAAGGTGGACAAAATTTGTACCTATAAAAATTTCATTTTTATATGCAAATAGACCCAAGGTACACAGCCTGAGGGAGGAGCAGGCATGTTTCAGGGTGCAGATGCTGGAACGTGCACATCTCCTAGCTCTGTCCACTGAGAGGGGCCAGAAGTGCCACCCACGAGCGACAAGCACGCCCCATGCCCAGATCTTAGTCACCGAAAAAGGGAACGAGGCTACTTGGAGAAATGGCTGCTGTAGGGCTGGGGCAGGACAAAGCTGACCCGAAGTACCGCATGTGCTGGGAAGTGCACAAAAGAAAGAAGGATGTGGGAATGTCAGAGGGACTCAGCCTCCTGAAAGCGCTCCCGATGGCCAAAGCTGGAACAATTTCAACAAAATAATGTATTTTTGGATTAAACCCAAATTATAAAATAAATATCCATGAGTCCAAATGGATATAAATGACTGAATAAATTAATAAAAGCAAAGCTTCCTTACAGAGTCCCACATAGTTCAGGGAGCTTCTCCTTCCCCCCCCACCCCTGTCTCCTGCGGTGGGAAGAAGCTGCTGACCCACAGCAGCGGGCCAGGCTGCAAGGGGGTGCGAGCTACAGGACAGTGACAAGTCATGCTGCCAGCACGTGCTGGTGGGCAGGGAGCGTGAAAGGGCCCCTCCTCGGTCCTCTTCCCGATCCCGCATAACCCCGGCCTAAGGCCATGAGAAGAGATCAAACAAACCCAAATTGAGAAATGGCCCATTAAGTACTGACTGGCACTCCTAGACATTGTCAAGGTCACGAAAAACAATATCTAAGAAACTGACTCAGACCAGAGGAGACTGAGACAGGATGACAACATGGGACGTGGGATCTGGGAACAGAAGGAGTGAAACAAGTGAAAGCTGAATCAAGTCTAGAGTTTTGTTTCACAATTATACATTATGTAATTTGTTATTTTACAACACAAATATATTTCTCCTTTATTGATATATCATAGAAAGTAATATTGGGGGCCTCCCCCGTGGCACAGCCGTTGAGCACTGGGTTGCGAAGCTGCCCGCGGCCTCTGCGGCGCCGGTTCGATCCCTGGCTGCTCCCCGGCCACCAGAGGAGGGTCCCACATGGTGTGCAGACCTCTCCTGCCGCCCGCTGCTCCCCTCAGCAGTGTACTTCGGTCCTTCTGCCTGCTCTGCTCCCCACTCTGGCTCTGGTGAATTCTCTCACCCTCCCGCGCTTCTGACTGTACCCAGTGCATGTATAAACAAAACAAACAAACAAACAAACAAACAAAGAAATAAATAAAACATGCCTCTATTAAAAAAAAAAAGTTTAAAAAAAAAAAAAA